TCCCTAAACTTCAAAAAATACCAAAATTATTCTTAAACTTTCATTTTTGGCACCAATTTTGTCCTTTTGTTGACGGAAGTGACAAATGGAACGTTAGATTGCCACAAAATCACTTAATTTTCTAAATGTTAATAACATGTAAATCCAACAAGGAGAACTCCCATTTTTTTAAATAGTTAATACATTAGAAAATAAAATTACTTAAATGCTCTCATTCTCATCCTCCAACCTTTCTTTCTTCTCTTTCTTCTGCACCTCTTCCAAGCTCCAAGCAAACCAACAACTCTGAAAAATCTAACAGCTTAAAAAAAAAAAAAAAAAAGAAAGAAAGAAAGAAAAAAAGAGCAATGGTAAACCCATATTTCTATGGCTTAATCTCTATAAAAAAAACAAAATGTTTGTGTTGAAAGCTTCAATTTTCCTTCCTCAAATATGTAAAAAAAATTGTGAACCAATTTGACAAAATCTTGTCTCCATCAACCTCTAGAACCTTTCCCTCTACAAGAATCATTCTCCTTCCTTAGATATGTAAAAAACCCAAAATTTTTATATTGAAAACTTCAATTTTCCTTCCTTAGATTTGTAACTTCTAGAATTTCAGTTGGACTTTTCCTTATTTTCTCCCAAAAAAAAATTCAATTTCTTGATCAACCAAGTGTAAAATCTTTCATTATCAAATTGATTTAAGAAATTCTAAGTTTTCAGAATGATTACCAAAGGAGAGAAGGAGATTAGAGTTGTAGAGGTCAAGTAGAAATGAACTGAGTCTTGTTCTTGAGCAGGTAACATTAGATTTGGACTGAATGTAATTGAAATTGAGAACAAATAGCTGGAGATCAACAAGAAACAGATTTGAGCACTAACAATGGAACCACCTTGAATCACAAGGATCTAGTGCTAGAGATCAACTATTACAATTTCACTCGAATGGAAATGATCTACATAGTCTGAAACCAACCGTGGAAGTAGATGAAACAAATATGGAGATTTATTTTGAGAGAACTAGAGGTGGAGAGGAAAAGGAGAGAAGAATCAAGAAGAGTATTAGATTTTCAAGTTGCTTTCAAAGAGATTTCAATGGGAACAAAGCCTTGGGAAACAGGCACTACTAGACAACAG